GGGGGGGGGGGGGGGGGGGGGGGGGGGGGGGGGGGGGGGGGGCAAAGACAATGATTCGCATTTTCATTGTCCCCCTCACGGACCCCAAGAGCGCTTTGTCTCCAAACACCCCATGTGCACCAGTGGCACGAATCCGCGGGACCACCGGCGACGGCGGTCGTGGGTTAGCCTCCCTATCAAGGGGTAATTGGTGGCCAAACCACACACACGAACTTTCTTCCTTCCGAAACAAGTTCGAGAAAAACAACGGTGCTGCGAAGCCAGCCCAAACGGGGCACAGGCGCAGCAGGCCTTCCGCGGGGGGTATTGGCTTACTAAATAGGGTGTCACGGCTAGATGCCGCGCTTGAGGAAAGCGGGCCAGCGGTGTTTCGTCAAAAAGCGCCAGCCGATGGACAACGGCTGGTTGGGCTGCACGGCAAAAAAAAAAAAGCACGTGTGTGTTCGTGTATGTGCGGGGGGTCCCTCTTCGCATTGATGTGTCGAGTCATGATATGCCACAGCATGACTGCTGCCATCTTCTCCTGGCTATTCCATACCTCAAACACCTCCCTGTAGCTTCGTTCTATTTTTCCCAGTTCAGTTTTGAACACTTCCCTCTCCTTGTACAACCGACATTCTGCAACTGCATGAACCCGGTCTTCGCACTCCGAGCGGCAATCAAATTTGAAATTGTCGTCTTCATCGTCTACCTCATGTCCCCGGTCCTGAGTTTGACTTTCAGCTTTGTCCGTGCATGCATTGGTCCATGTAGATACTCTTTGAACCCTATTCCTTCTTTAAACTCGGTATACATCTAAACCTTCCTCATATTTGGTTTCTTTGACTAGATTCTGTCCTTCTCTCTCGAAAAGCAATAGATATCTTCTCCTCTAACCCCTCTAGACCTTCGGTTTCCAGCGTATCACCTTCGTCGATGTCGAACTCCTTCCACACGTCATCTACAACCTTGACCCGCTCCGCGGGTTGTCTACCTCTCTTCTTGTTGCCCACTTCGCCTCCCAAGCTATTCTCGGCAACCTCCCCTCTCCTATACCGCATATGCAGTACTGCCATTTTAGCTTCCTTGCGTCTCTACACGATCGTAGGGAATAGGGATTGGATCCCCAGTTCTGCCCTGACAGCTGCAATACTTGTGCACTTGGAGCATCCTAGGATGATTTTCGCTGCTTTCATCTGCGCCGCCTCGAGCTCTTTGACTACATTACCTTCTTCCTTCCCATCTCCAGCGTGCCAAGGCCGGGGGGGGCGCGTCAGACGCAGACAGCCAGGGCTACACAACAGCCGGGTGAGACGCGACATACCCCACCCCACCACGAACTCACCACGCCATCGACGGCTGTGACTGCTCAAAGGAGATATATAATATATATATTTTTCTCTTAAGACTTGCAGCTACAGCATGCCGACGAATCTGATTTGACTTAAGACTGTTGAGGTACAAAGAATCGCGATCTCATCTTACCTTCCGAACATGCTGTCATAGCCCACAAATAGCTGGTGCAAGTGGTACGCGGCCTCGGCCCCTCGAAACACGCCTGTGTCGGAAAGTTCAAGGAGAACAGCCGCCATCTCCCGATGAAGCGAGCACATCAAGTGGTGGTCCGCGAAGAGGTATACCCCCACGCACAACGCCTGCTGCAAGGGCTAACCACATTCGCATACACAGCATAAACACACGGAGAAAGAGAAGAGAGAGATAAGGGAGAAGAGAGAAGATGGGAGAAGGGAGAGAGAGCGAGAGAGAGAGAGATGAGAGATGGGAGATGAGAGAAGAGAGATGATAGGTGAGAGAAGAGAGACGAGAGAGAGAGATGAGAGAGGGAGATGAGAGAGGAGAGAGAGATGAGAGACGAGAGAGAGCACGAGAAGTCGGGGGGGGGAAGAAACGAGCGAAAAAAACAAGCAAGCAACATTCAGAGGGCAGGAGTCACGCAACCAAATATGACGTCATTGGCTGCGGACTGCGGGAACAATAAACGCAAGAATGTTCAAGAGGGGTTGCACTTACGTGCACGCAGCCGAAGCAAACATAATGCGGTATCGGC